GGCAGCCGAAGTTTGATACCCATCGTTCGACGAAGGCGCGAGCCACTGTTTCAGCAGTGATGTCCTTGATAGGTACTGCTTCTGGCCATCGAGTGAAACGGTCTACGCAGGTTAAGAGGTAAGAGTATCCATTTGAATCTGGTAAAGGTCCTACCAAATCCAAATGAACATGGTCGAAACGAGCATCGGGAGTTTTAAATGAGCCTAAAGGACATTTATTGTGTCTGATAACATCAGATTTTTGGCAGCTTACACAGGAGCGTGCCCACTCCATCACGTCTTTATTCATGCCAGGCCAGCGAAACCGTTCTACCATGAGCTTGATGGTTGCACGAACACCTGGATGAGAAAGTTTGAGCAATGTGTTGAAGACATTGCGTCGATGACCTTTCAGCACGATTGGGCGATCCCTACCTGTAGATGTGTCACAAAGTAAGGTTTCCTTACCTGTTTCCATCTGTTTGATGCGTAGCTTGAGTGTTGTAGACGATAACTCGTGCTGAAGATCACTGTCTTCTTTTTGAAGCTCGGCGAGTTTAAGAAGGTCGATTCCTTGGAAACTGTTTAACGAAGTTATGCGAGATAGGGCGTCTGCAACTACATTGTTTGCTCCAGAGATGTGTTGAATATCTGAAGTAAACTGCGAAATGTAGTCCAGTTGTCGAGACTCACGGGGAGAGTACTTGTCTGAAGGAGAGCTTAACGAGAAAGTGAGCGGTTTATGGTTCGTGAAAAGAGTGAATTCACGGCCTTCGATGAAGTGCTGGAAATGCCGTACAGCACAATACATAGCTAGGAGTTCCCTACCGAATGTGCTGTACCTCGATTCAGTGTCTAGCAACCGTCTAGAGAAAAATGCTAAAGGTTGCCATGACTTGTTAACCCATTGTTGTAAGACTCCTCCGATTGCCGAGTCGGATGCGTCTACTGCGATACTAATGGGTGCTTCGGTGTCCTGATGTGCGAGCATTGTCGCTTTAGCGATCAGTTCCTTAACTGTGGAGAATACTTTTCTTGCGGTGTCGTCCAAATTAATGGATTTCGCATTTCCACGAAGTTGGTCGGTCAGAGGTTTCATAAGTAATGCGCATTTGGGTATGAAACGTCTATAGAAACTTACCAGGCCGTTAAACGTGCGTAATTGCTTGACGGTGGTCGGTTCTGGGTAATCCAGAATGGCCGCCACTTTGGTTCTAAGGGGTCGAATACCTTGAGCATCCATAGTGTGTCCTAGGAAATCTAACGAGTTGGTTCCGAATTGGCATTTCTGAACGTTTACAGTAATGCCATGTTTTTGTAGTCGTTCGAAAACAAAATCCAGATGCTTGAGATGTTGATATTTTATTATCCTTTTCATTTAATTGTAACTTTCATTGCATCACTCCAAGCTATGTGACTGAACAAACATTTATTCTAGCGTCATATCTTACTGCAATTATAAGTTATTTTTTCTTAATTATTTTTGTTACTAATTTAACGATACACACATAGTCGTTTATTCTTGTTCTATGTTCATAAACACGCCTATTAGACTTTTTGCCTATTTCACGTCTCCTTTATTTCTATTCCCTTATTTCCTCCATTTCCTTCTTTAAACTCAATTCAATATTCTTCTCAATTGCACAGACCCGATTTAATATTATTGATATTCTACTATTATTGCTCTAATTTTTTTTAAAATGGTAAGTATAATGCTGACATTATTGAAAATTGTGTATTATTGCATTTTTTGAAGAAACCCGAGATGGTTTCTTCACAACACTTATGTACCCATAAGATGTTTGTGAATAATAATAATAATAATGTGTTTCTCTGTCCGGACTTGCGATTAGACAGTCGTCAACATACGCGTGTACGAAGTTGAAACCTCGAAAAACGTCGTCCATGAATCTTTGGAATGTTTGAGCAGCGTTCCTTAGACCGAAAGGCATTCGCAAAAATTCGTAGAGTCCGAAGGGAGTTATGATAGCTGTTTTCGGTATGTCGTCAGTAGCCATAGGGATTTGGTTATACGCTTCAACCAAGTCGATTTTCGAAAAGACAGTTGTACCTTTCAAGGTAGCTGTCAAATCGTGAATGTGAGGCAACGGGTAACGATCGGGAATGGTTTTCGCGTTCAATCGCCGATAGTCACCAGTTGGACGCCAATCGTTGCTGTCCTTTTATGGACCATGTGCAACGGAGATGCATATGGGCTACTTGACGGTCGTATGATTCCTAAGTCCATCATGTGATCGAATTCGTTTTTCGCTAACCTTAGCTTTTCATGAGTTAGTCGTCGTGCTTTAGAGAATACAGGTGGTCCTGTAGTAGTGATGTGATGCGTAACATTGCTGGTTACACACGGTAGTTTCGGTTGAGTTTGTTGTATCCCAGGGTACTTATCGAGTAGTGGTTGATAGAGTGGGTCTATCATATGTTTAACTGTGACTGGGGTTACTGTACAACCAGTAAAAGAAGTTACACAAACGGACAAATTAGTGTTTCCATCTACTAGCCTCCGTTTGCGAGTGTCGATGATCAGATTGTGGTGTTGTAGAAGATCCATATCAATGATTGGCATAGAAACATCTGCAACAACGAAAATCGAGTGGATGGGTTTGCGTAAACCCACGTTAAGGTAAACGTACTTTTTGCCATACGTAGCGATCGGTTTACCGTTTGCCGCCTGTAAGTTTAGAGCCGATTCTTGAAGCCGATCGTTGGGATTCGCTGGGAGAACGCTAACTTCTGCGCCAGTGTCGACGAGGTAGCGAACTCTTGTTGTCACATCTGTGACGAATAACAGACGGCTTTGTTCGCCGGCTACGGTTGCCGTTAACGCGTGCCGGCTTGGAAGTTTTCCGAATCAGTCGGTTTCGTGTTGGGAAAATTGCAGGGTTTTCTGCAATTTCTGGAAAACTTTCCATACTGGTTATGATACCAGCACCAGTCGGGGTTATCTGTCTCTCGTGGTCTAGAGACAGATCGCTTACGAGAAATGCTTCTACGTGGTGTGCGCGATCTCTTACGGTCGGTACGAAGACTAAGATAACGCGTGTGTGTGACATAAGTCGGTTATATCATTCTGAGTCGTGTGAGGCTTTTCTTTGACTGAAGATACCTCGGTAGTAGGTTTCGTAATTTCTAGAATGCGGTTGGCAGATGTAGCTAGCTCGTCTAGGGCGTTGTTCTGGAACGAGACCAGAACTGCTTGCAGCTGTTGGGGAAGTTTTGACAAGAAGAGTTGTTTGAATAGACCTTCGTCGAAAGTTCTTGGACCTATAACCTCTCTCATCCGTTGCAACATGTCTGTCGCAGAACCGTGTTGCAGGTCGATATTGTTGAAGAGTTGATCTAATCTTTGTCGATCGGTTAGGTCTCCTCGTTCAAGAATCGAGCGTTTTAAGATTTCGTAAGGATCGGAAACATCACTAGTAAACATACTAGGTGTTACGTACCTGTTGAATTCGAGCGGTAGTGCCTTGACTACTGCGAGGAATTGTGCACGTGTGTCGATCACGCCGTGCTCGGAAAAGTCGGCTTCTGCGTAGCAAAACCAGGCTTCGATGTTGTCGGGCCAGAAAGGCATCAGTTGAAACGAAGGCGGGGACAAAGTCTTAAGCTTGAGTACTTTAGGTGTCTGTTCAGTCATGACGAAGTATGAAGTACGATAATGAACGAGGGGAAAATATATATATATCCAGGAAAAAACACGAAAAAAAATCACAATGTTTAAAAAAATAAAAAACAAGGCAATGATATATAAAAATCCCAAAAAGGAACAGACTTACAGTTGCAATTAGGTGTATCAGATCACGACGGTCTCACCAATGGTGATGTCACAGGTATTCAGTGTTTGACAACGCTTCTACCAGTAACACCTTCTAATGTATTTCGTTCCCACCCAGAGAAATCAAAAGACAGAGTCGAGGAGATCGGAAGAGTATATTTGGCGATGACCAATATATCGGAATTCTCTGATCTAATCTGGCTAGCGATTGCGGTTGATGTTGAGCACGGCGTTACCACACGTGATCTGGTGCGGATGCCTGACCGAGCGCCGTCAGCTAGATGAGTCCACTAAAACATATGGTCAGCATCCAATGTCTAAAACTTAGTGCTATTTATTTTGGGGATTTATTTACCACTACAAGTACTTATGTTACCGGAACAGCCCTCATCAACCTTTTTGTTAGCCAATGCCATGAGGCTAATTGCCTTCTTGATGAGCAATGTCTTTCGCAAACAAAAGACATACAAAACCAGTGAGATTTAGGTTTTGAGCACCTTTTATAGGCAGTGAGATTTAAGCGGGTACACATCTTATGGAACCACTTTTTACACAACAAATTGCATTAATTCTTCCACGGGGAATAAACACTATGGCTGTCCACACTTGAGAGCAGAGCCCACCATCTTAAAAATTAACTGAAAGTGGTAGCACAAAAATGGATATGTAAAAATTTCAAACCTTAACCGAATAAATCAAGTCAAAGTCGACCAAGTATGCTTTGATCCAATAAATACACAGAAGCAAAGTCAATATATCTAAATACAATAAAATTTGGCCGAAATAAATTCAATTAAGGTGCAAGCAGTAGTTTTGATGCGTAATTTACTATTAAAACAGTAAATTTAACTCAACGAGCAATAATATCAGTCATTTTTAAATAGCGCGCCGGATAGCTATATACATTTGTGCGGGGCCTAATCTGGTCGTATATCATGTCACAAGCTCTAAACATTAATGATCAGACAGCGTGATTGCCATTCACTAACGGTGGAAGAATATTTAGATTGGCAATATTGCCAATGAGGATATGTATCCGCATTCGCATGAATGATTACCAAGTCTAACAAGGAAGAACCTTGGTTTGAACCAAAGCGTGTGGGTTCGAATACATGGTTTACTAATGCATGCTCCTTATATATATAGTGTAGTTGAACTTAAATCAAATTTATGGCCGTCTTGATTTGACCGCTTCTGCATTTTCGTGATGACGCACCAATCGTTTTATGACGGTTTGACCTTCAAGTGCTCAGTAACCTCCCTCAATGGACGGTGCCAATGGATCGTTGACCGTTTGCTTACCTTCGGTCGGTTAGATTCTATTCCCAAAGATGACGGTTACATACTCGTCGGTTGTGGCAACTGCGAAATATTGGACTTTTATAAGATTATTGTTTATGTAATGCTTACGGTTTTTGTTCTCAACAGCCACAAACAGGTGGAAAGGAAGCGTTTATCGTCTGGTTTGGTTCGAGTTTTTGGTCTTCGTCGGTATATACTCCGTTTTATCTGTTACATACAGGTTTATCCTCAGTGCGACACTGAAGAGGTTAGTTAAATTATCCAAACGTTGACGCTGAATAGCTACATACATAAATGAGGTTTTTAGTTAACGTCTTATTAGTTAAAAATTGAAATTAGTTAGTAGATTTTAGAACTCACTCGTTTGTTGCAACCGTGTTCGTTGTGATAATCTCGGGTTTCCTGTCCGTTTCCTACCTTATACATATAAACGTTTTGCCAATATGAACCCTCTCAAGGCGGTCTCCAGTTGACTTGGTGATACATGTAAGTCCTGTAATATCAGCAGTAAATTTGAGTCTTAAAAATAGTCCACATAAAACTCTAAGGAGTCATCAGTTATCAATTGGGTCAATATTGTCATAATAATTTGTAGAAAGGACTTCGGAATCCAAGAACGAACCAGATGCCTTTAAGGATTTCTTGGAGTAATCACCTCTTTAAACTTAATGTCAAGTAAATTTCCTGCACCATCTTTCTGTTAGTCTAACATAAAACAAACACTTGCAAGATACTGGTTGTCTTTCAAACTAAGAATCCAAATCTTGGTGTCGATCTTATCATTCGATGGAATACGTTAAGTTTGGTCTTTACACACTTTCCTATCAGTATTTTGAAACCTTTTAAAATATTTTTTCCAACACTATCGTTTCAGGTTTGAATCGTCTTCATCAGAAATCGTTATCATAAGTGTTACTTAGTTTGGTGGTCATGCATTTTCTTAGTTAATAGATTTCTACCAGAGTCCACGGATCAGGAGGTGCATTGGTTTACATCTCTCAATCATTGGCTATTTATAATTCAGTTCCAAGACACTGAGTTTGGCTTCTAACTGAGATACCAAATGTAATATGTTCGAATCTCTATAGATTTATGCCTCCACGTTACTGATTCACTATATTAGTGACTACTAACAGGCTTTGAATGGGAATCCAGTGTCTCTTCAGCAAATCAAAGTTCGAACCCCTTACTGCCATCTAAGGCTTTTGGAGAAGTATGATCTGAATGTACTTATAAAAAAGACATTGATTGTCATGCTAAAATCAGACTTGGAAAAATCTAAATCTCTTATCAAAGTAATTTCCTAATCGATACCTTATAAAAAATTTACTAGCAAGTGTAAACATATGTTCCATGTATTGGTTTTATGAAGGTACTGCACTCAGCGTTCGGTGGTTTTGTATAGATACGTATAACTTGTCTTTTATGGAGTCGATGGGAATCCGCTCTAAAGAAAAAGCATATGATCACAAGTCGTAATGAATTGTACAGTACTTATTCAATCCAGTTTTTAAACATCTTACTCTTGCAAATTAATGATAAGAATATGATTCAGCTCAGTAATCACACGTGTATGTTTCACGTTTACAAGCTAGTTATTAAAAGTAGGTGGAACCAAAGATCCGCAGTTCGCGATAAGTTAATAATACATGACGAAGTTGTAAATAGGTCAATATTTCACATATACCTAACTTTACCATTTTTAATTATTGATTTCTTCAACTCTTTGTCTCTGCCTGTTATTTTTTCGAACTCGGAGTCGTAGCTCAGCGATTAGACATTCGACTTTCAGCCAATAAGTTCCTGGTTCGAACCCCGCTCCATCAACTTCAGCTTAGGTAACCGCACCTTATTATTAGTTCTCATACATGGAGTGTAACTCAGAGCCAAGTACACAAATGAGTCTAACGATTTTTTAACGTTAAAAATTTTCGGACTGCTCAATTTTCCTGTATATCAAATATGTTGTTCTATTCGAACATTATACTGACGAAGATTATTAGTGCTCTTTAGTATATCACAACAGTCGAGTAATTACCCAAATAGAAATCTTAGTGTTTTAGCTGCTTCAGATGTTTTAGATATTTTTGTTAGTATTTGTAGAATTATCCCATAAGCTTACTGATCTGAGTGGTTATACAAGTTGCTTCAGCATTGATGACATGTGGGTAAATCGTTCCATATTGTATATTTCAAAATTGAACTGACCAACTGTTTTGCGCTTAAACATTTAAAAATAGTTATACAACTGTAATGACTTTTTAACTAGCGTGTTTACAATTATATTCAAAGTTATCATATTCACTGTCTATTTTACTGCAAATCGTTTGTTTATTTTCTATGGTATGCTATACATAACTTACAAACCATGATTAATAATTGGTTTAAACAGGTATTTTGAGCTATTGTGCATCTATTGTGGCCAGTACAACGAAACGGTTCCTGTAGCATTCGTTTTGGGCTTTTACGTTTCACTTATTGTTCAACGTTGGTGGGAACAGTTCCTAGCATTACCATGGCCTGATCGTTTGGCTTTGTTTATAACAGCTTTTTGTCATGGGAACGCTGAACGCCCAACAAGAATCAGGCGAAATATAGTTCGATATATCAATCTATCTTATTGTATTGCGTTACGTGCAATCTCATCTCGAGCTCGCTTGCGTTTTCCAACAGAAGAACATCTTGTTACTGCAGGTGATCCAATGTTTTCATTAAATATTGTGTCATTTTGAAAAGATTCATCAATAGGACTCAATGTTATTTTAATCAATTTTCACGCTTTATATGACAAACATACGTTTTAATATTAATGTTTCTGGTTTTGCGTATTATCGATAAATTCATTTTGTGTAAGTTAAGGGTTTGGATTCCATTGTACTGTTATTGCATAACGAAACTCATTGTTCTCTAGGCTTACGCTTGCAATATTAGTGTTTTAGTAAATTAGCCAATTTATTGCGATTTCTGGGTTGTATCTGTCTAACAAAATATTAAGTAATATGTTTGTGAATACCTGAACACTGAGGTGGAGGGTTCCAGTTGACTGTTTGATTATTGATATATGTGTCAATTTCTTTTTTATTGACTTTAATAACAGCTTAATGTGAATGTTAATTGTGATGTCTTTTAGTAATTTTAGGAAGTAGTATGATAGTCCAACTATTTCATAGGAATATTTATCTTGAACTCTGGATTACATTTATTTATTTATTTATTTATTTGAACACATGAATATTGGTACAAGAGAGCGCCAATATATATGCGCCACACAAAACAATGAGAATTCGAAGAGAAATAAAATAAGCTAAGGAGCGCAAAAAAAGAGAACAGTAACGAAGAAATTGGTGTAAGGTAGTGTGGTAGTAATGAGGGAACGGAAAGGTACAATCAGAAGAAATCTTTCAGGTAAGGGAGACACAACCACTTTTTATGAAGACAGTAAAAGAAGGTTACAGCAGGATCGCCACTGGCTTCTATTCTGAGCCATATCTGATAACGTCTCTAGCCACTGTGTAGCACTATCTCTCAGACCCCAACCAGGGAGTCGTGAAGGACCGACAGAAGCCAGTCCTTTGCAGCTTTCTTTCATGCCACGACACCATGTCATGCACTGACCACCTCTCCGCTTCTTCCAACCAGTCCCAGAGTCGGCAAATAATGCACGACGTGGAATTCTCTGGGGCGGCATTCGGAGAACATGTCCAAGCCACCGAAGTCGGTGTTTCAAGATGAAGACACTAATTGAGTTATCATCTCTGTGCCCGAACACACGATGCCGAACCTCTGCATTACTGACATGGTGTTGCCACTGAATGTCAGCAATCCTTCGGAGACAGCGATGATCGAACACAAATGATGAACTCTGGATTACATACTTGATTCCATTTCATTAATTTAATCATTTAAATATATACAAATTTTCTTTCCCAGAAACTGAGTGATTGTTGATTTTCAAACAATATGTATCATTGACATCGTTACATAGTACCTACTGTGAATTTACTGGATTGTAATTAATTATAATCATGCTTTTTGGAAGATGAAAGACATTAAAAATAATTGAAGTATTAAATCTTATTTTTACTACACGAAAATATATTCTGAGACCTCATATATAAAGCATCACCTCATAACTGTCATTTCCATGGCGAAAAAATGTTCTGGTACTGAAATCTTATTTTTTAAAATTACTCGTAATTCCCAAGTTCTCACACATGTTTCAATCATACACTTTAAACTCTATGTCATATATATATCTCTGAAAGAGTTAATGAAATGTACTCTGTACATTAGAAAAATGTACATTCCATTCGCATATAAGTATTGGACTGATTTTATTCTGTTAATCTACCATTTGAAAGTAAGCACATAAATAAATCCATTTATTTACTGTGGATGGACTCGTTAGTTGGAGACAACCTACAAAAAGCCTTGGATGTAGGTTTTTTTTAACACTCGTCAGTATAGAATATTTACTGTCTCAAGGAAACCGATGTTTCATGTGGGTTTCGAATTTCTGTCACTTAGTGTCAAAGTTAGTGTTTTGTCACCTAACTATTCGGGATACGGCTGAACTGTGGAACAGTTGAGTACACACTGATTGATCATTTATAATGACCAATACTATGTCCAGTTCTTGTTGCTGATGGAATTCTACCGATAAAGTTGGATTATATAATTGTGTTTTATCAGAACGTGGGTTTAGGTTATACTCGGAATAATGACAATGTAAATTGATCCAAATCTGTGTTAATTCACCACCAACAATTCAATAATTGATTATTAATAAACCGAGCTATTTGTAAGAGGTCCGTTAATATTGAAGTAGATTACTTTATGGTATTTAATAGCAATCAAGAATGGCATTGACAGTGTATATTTTCTCTTAAGAAGAGATAGTCAAAGGAAATAGTCAATTTATCTCATAGCTTTCCTTAATACTGAAGTAGTCACTTTAAAAAACCAATATACAGACTAACAAGTGCTAGCCAAATAGGATTAACTCGCTTATACATACACTTAACTGAGTTCATATCTAAAGTGTATAGCATCCATTCTGCATTTCACTACTGACTAGTGCTGTCAAAATTTATTTTTTTCATGAGGATAATTGCATGTTTCAAAGTGTTCGTACTACTTTTTCTCTTTTTAGGATTGATGACACAAGAAGAATTGGATATTTATCGTAGTACTCAACCCAGTGAATATACTTTATACTTTGTTCCGTTAGTATGGGCCTTAGATATGGTTACAAAAGCTCGTGAAGAAGGCTACATACGCTTTGATAGAGCTGTAGAAATTTTGACGAATGAAATCACATCATTTCGTAGTAAATTAGGTACAATATTTGCTTATGATTGGGTTAATCCTCCACTCGTGTATACCCAAGTGAGTTGATAAGTATTAGTAAACTAACATGCAATAACAAGACGGACTGTTTACTACTTTTTCAAGATTTGGTATTTTTTTATGGTTTACTGACAGATAATTATATTTCCCTTATGTCTGGTGGTCAAACAATTGGGAATGTTTAAAGTGCGACTGACAAATACACAATTTCCAAACAAGCCATATATTAGGATACGAGTGGGACTTAATACCACCTTTCGCCAGACGATTCTAGTCATGTCTGCGTTAAATAGAAAAATTTCCTTTAGAGCAGTGTTTCACCGGTTAAGGCCACTAACTTAATGGTTCGACGTCGTCACAACTGCTCCGATTTGAACAATGTTCCACCAGTTTGAAAGAGAGATAAAATCAAGTTTTGGAGTATTGACGACTTAGTCACTGGATTTCGAACCAATGGATCTCTGATTCACTTGATATTGTTTTACTTGAATCTTCCCATTGATGTTTTAGGACTGAAATTGATCAGTCTCTTATTGGCATATGTGCATACTGTGCGTATGCCTCGATATTGCCTTAATTTACAAACATTATAAGCAAAGATGGATAGTGGCTAGCAGTCCTAAAACATCAATGGGAAGATTCAAGTAAAACAATATCAAGTGAATTAAACTTCAACCCATTGCACAAGCAAGTGGCTATCAGGACTCAGTAGCTAAGTGGATAACGCGATGGCATTTGAAGCAAACGGTACTGAGTTCGAGTCCCAGAATGAACATCAACTCTGAGATGCAGGTACATCCAGCTGACGAGTCCCAAACAGGACGAAACGCGCGTCCTGGATTCCACTGCTAGCCACTATCCATCTTTGATTACAATGGATCTCTGGTTTAAGATCTGCCTCACTTACACTAGTTTTAGGCTACGTGGTTGTATCACTAGCCCTAACAATTCGAGTGTGGTTTGAAGGCAAGTTCATGAATAAGATTCTGGTAAATAAGTTAATATCTTGTTGTTCAAGAGGCATATGAAAATCCTAGTGGATTAAATCCAAGCTTTTTTGTTTGAATCCTTCAATTTGATTTTGCTCCTATTACTTCAAGTCTTTCTAGTAAACATAAGTAGCCATATTCACCACCGACACGTTTATTTAAACTCTCTCTCTCTCTCTCTCTCTCTCTCTCTCTATATATATATATATATATATATATATATATATATATATATATAGTTTCCGATATAACAATTTAAAATACTTTTCTCAGGTATAAAAGATTAGTTAACCTAGTTTTAACGATTAGTTTAATTAATATTTTAGCTAAAATCTTGGAGTTGGACGTAATCCCATCTGACTGGTCGCAATCACTGATTGTCCCAATATATAAGAAGAGGTCGAAATCATCCTGTGATAACCATAGAGGGATCAGTCTAATATAGCATATAAAATACTAGCTTCAATAATTACCAGGAGCCTAACAGAGACTCCTGAACTGCAACATGAGAAAATCAGGCCGGCTTCAGACCTGGTCGTGGATGCATCGACCACATATTCACTATTAGTCACGTTCTAAAACACAGGCATACTTATCGGCGTCCGATAATAGTGGTCTTTCTCGAATTAAATGCAGCACTTGACTCTGTAGACCGTGAGATTCTGTGGCGGTGTCTGTCATTGAAAGGCGTACCTCAGAAGTACTTAAACCTTGTGAAGGCTCTTTACTCGAACACTACTAGTCGAGTCAGAGCTTATGGCGAACTGTCATCTACTTTTGTAACCTCAAGTGGTGTCCGTCAAGGATGTCCACTTTCTCCATTTTTGTTCAAATTCATCATAGACCTACTGATGGAAATAACGCTCTCGTCGCTGACTAACTGACTGACTGACTACCCAACGCAGCCACAAGCAGTCACACTCAGTAAGTCCAGAGTGAAAATCAGTGGAAGGTAAGGAAACCACATATTTAAGTCAGTAGGTTGTGGCTGTTTGTCCACACTCCGTGACTAATCATATTTTAATTTTACTCCCACACATCAGTTTTTTTATACGATTATGCATCCAGATTATTTGTCATTAACCCAGCTACAATCCCATATTCTTTAATAATCCATATATCTATATAAATATTTCTATCATGATATGTGATATATGCCTTGTAAATTGTCAATTAATTGGCTCACCCACTAATTGCTTTCACACATGAAAATAAGATACGTCAGCCAAACAAATCAATCGGTTTTGATGTTTACTCTAAAAATAACGTTAATATTTTAGGTGATGTGTAGTTGTGCATCCTCTAGTGGTTACCTTTGTGTATGTGTGCAATTTAGACACCATTTATTTATAGATAGTTGAAAGGTGGCGTAAATTATGGGGAAATTTGAATATAATAAACCAGTTAAATTAGTTATGCTTCAGTATTTCTACTTAGTACTGTTAGTTAGATCTGTTTTTTAGAAGTTACGAACTATGCGCAAGCATATATCTAATGTACATTGATTTTCGACTGTACTCTAGCTGATATTACCTTGACCAAAAACTGTCATGACCATAAGTTTGTAATCTTGTGATTTCGAAAAGTTTTTAAATCCCAAGTACTTTTAAAACCATCATTCGGTTATTAAGAAAGGGCTGTCAGTTTCATCATATACCTTTTTCGAAGGTATTTTTCAGTTTTGCAATGAATCGTTAAGGTGGCAAACTACAATCCGCCACAATATTTGGGTTCCACTTCTCAGTGGGTGGGGGAGGAATAGAGTGAGTGAGCTTGGCGTGTCCGGACCAAAACGTGGACTCATTCCGTAGACATTAACTGTTAATCTTGGTCATGTTGGTAAGTGCAGACTACTTGGTTAGGGGCGGTGCAATGGTCGTCGTATGAATTCCGTATAATGTTAACGACCTTCTCATCCCGACCGTTGCTGCTACCTTCAAGTGGTGGTCGGGCTTGCCTATCGTGACTAACTAATCGGGACATACTGACTAGCACAACCGTTTTTCAAGGTCCTACCACGCCAGGCAAGTCGGTTGAAGAACGATAAGACTAAAAGCAGCAAACCCAAGGTCCGAAGGCGAAGTCGTACTGCTGACTGTACAGAGGTGTGACAGCAGTAAGGTGTTTCTTTCAGACAACCAGCATAACAGCGATGCTGGGAGCGTCGAGCCGAATGAATGCACACCTCGCCTTATCCCAAAGATATCCGTCTCCGGCGGTAAGGTTTCAACAAGTACAGAGCTAACACAAAAACTACCCGCAAAAAGGTCGTGTGTGATCGACCTCATGCAATTGTCTCTTGGGCACTGCTGTCACGCTCTCAGATCCCTAAGACCACCATTCCAGTTTCCTTGTCAGGTACATCTAGAAAAACCCTTCCACTGTGTGGGCGACCGGGAAGTGATGACTGCCCTCATACCTATAATAGCACTCAAGATTCTCAGCTACTCGATTGTGTCGAAGAAGGTTCTATAAATTTGTACAATCCACTGTGTCAAACGCTTTCTCATAATCAAGGAAGTTGATGTATGGTGACTAGTTCCGTTCAAGTGATTGCTCAACAATGATCTGTAGTGTCCCAAGTTGGTCAATGCCCTACCGATCTTTACGGAATACAACCCGTTGATCTCAAAGTTAGACGTCTACTGAATCTTGCATCTGATTCAAAAACATTCTGTTGAAAACCTTTCCCAGTGCTGATAGTAGTGTAATGACTTTCTAGTTCTCACACTTTCTCGGATCTTATTTCTTCGGTGTCTTAGTGAGGTAACCTTTCCAATCTGTCGGCACTCGTTCTTCCTCACATGTCTTTCTCAATAGAATGTGGAGCATGCTTGCAGCTACTTCTATTTCTGACTTCAGTGCTTCAACTGGTGTGTTATCTATTCTTGGTGCTTCCCCACCCTTGAATTGTCTGATGGCCATCCTGATTTGTTCGATCATTGGTGGGGTGAGATCAATAAGAAGGTCTGTAGGTGATATTCAAAGTATTCTCCGCACTTGTCCCTCTGTTCTTGAATCCAAGTCATTGATTTGCCTTGTGTGTTCTTGACTGGTCGCTTTAGTTTACTATATTTCTCCACCAGTTTATTCGTTGTACCATGTATTTGTCGCACAATACAACGTTTTAAGTTTATAGTTGTTATAAAGCAGGTTTATGGAGCGCTTGGTATGAGCTGTGACCTTGAAGAAACGCGTACATCAAGTTTGTTTCAGGCTTCAGAAGCTCCATAGCTGTGCATTGAGAGCGTGATGCTGAAAAGAGAGTAACAAAGGAGCAGCAAAGCACTTGGATTTAAACGCTAGACAATCAGGTCAGTCAGTCAGCTACAACGTAGGACCAGGCACATATGTGCATCGGTCCAGGTTGCCATACCGCATCAGCACAACAAGATGAACACCGGGTTCACAGCAGTGGTTAGGTCAAAGGTGGTAATATATAAGAGAAAGATTGCATATAGAGATATAGTACAAGAAGGAAGAATTGGTTCGTAGAAAGAAAGATATGAAGTGATTTTAATCTCTTAGTTTAAGGGAAGACAGGGAGTGTATACACTGACGCCATTGTGATCGATTCTGAGCCATGTCACCAAGAGTCTCCAACCATTGGTTACGATAGTCACGCGGACCCCAACCAAGTAGTCTGCATCTACCAACATGGCTCAGACTAGAAGTTAGTGACTTCAAGCACTGATGCCACGTTTTGGTTTGGCCGCCCCTAACTTTCTTCCAACCATTTCCAATACCGGATAGCATTGCACGTCGTGGTAATCGGTGTTCAAGCATACGTAACACGTGGCCCAACCATCTCAGTCGATGAAGATTCATAACCTCATCAACTGATTTACCATCATTCCCTAATACCCTGCGTCTAACCTCACTATTACTTACCCGGTGATCCCAGCAGACGCCAGCAATATTTCTAAGGCATCTGTGGTCAAATACTAATAGCTTACGAGTGTCTTCTACTCTTAATGGCCATGTTTCGCTGCCGTAAAGTAAGACAGAACGGACTGCCGCGCAGTATACTTGTCCTTTTATTGATAGACG